GAAATACCCCCCACAGTGCTGCGGAAGGATCCCCAATGACATGGTGGGAGTGGGGGTTCATGAAAGTGGTGGGTGCGTTGGCATGGTTTTTTCCTAGAATGGCAGGGCTGAAAGATATCGACAAGCCGACGACTATGGGAGATTCAGAGTTTTTCTTTTCTTTCGTCTTCCCACCACACCCCAATATGATGTATCCCACCCACCCTTCGTGTCCTTACAGTAGGGCTCCGTACGCCGGACTCGCTTGAGAAAATTTCTACAGCCCCATGATGTGCCGGAACCAGGTCGATACTCTGAAAATAAGGAACGAAGGGACGTCTCAGTTCGTTCTTTGGACCAGCGCGGGCACGCCGCCGCCGAAACGGAAACGAAATTTGAACACTGAAAAATTGCACTTTTGTGTTGGTTGTGACCGACGCCAATTCATCTTCTCGGGCTGGTCCGGCGACAAATATTGACAGATGACTGGTGCATGGCGACACCGAGAGGCAGATTCCTTTTTGTCCAAAGGATCTTCGAAAATATCGATAATCTCGAAGCATGACCCTGTTACTGACACTTGTACGACATACCATGGAATGGTCTGTTAACCTTGTCACACATCTCAGCCCCCGTTACGGCATATTCTGCACTCTGTCACCCTGTTCCATGTGTTGCTCGGAGAGCCCGTCGAGGTAAACGAGACCAAGACATATGAGACGCAAAACACAATGCAAAACCATTTGCCCCCGTGATGGATCACTGTTTGCAATCCCCAGCATCTCGGAGTGGTATCGGCAATGCAACGATATCTTCGAACATCAAGAACAGATCCCTGCTATCACATGCGCCGTGACAATGCTGGCAAATGCGCCGATATCCAGGGATCTGGCCCTTCTTTTACCCCTTTGTTTAACTTTATTGTCCCACTATCCGCAAGAACTGCTCGGCCATGTATCACGGTCGCGCCGGTACTGATCGAATTCTTTGGATTCTACGACATAGTTGAGCGGACTTAGTTCCGTCCTTCTCTAGTCTCGATCTCGCCGAAGTGCTAGACGAGAACCCATCCATACTAAAACTGTCGGTGTGCGCCACAAGACGCCATGGACACTTTTCAAGGAGATGTCAAAATGCGAAAGGACGGGAACCTACGTCACTTTAAAGAGCTGCTCGTCACAGGCCGTGGCTATCAGTAAGGGCCGACTCACAGGTACGACGGCACACATCTACCATAAACCAATATTCACCCACTCACACACTGCGAAGAGTATGCGTGTGAGAGCTATTCTCCAATTTTTGAGTGGATATGTATGTACGACGCAGTCCGTACATGCTATGCTACCCCTCATTTCCTCCCACCCTCATGCAAAATGCAAAGAAAAGAAAACAAAAGCGCTGTCCAAGGACAACGACACCGAGAACGTGTTCAGTAAACTCCTGCGCCCCTGCACATGAACAGAGAAATTGGAGGGAGAGCCTAGTTAGTGGCAAAGGCTTGGGGGTGCAGTGGGGGAAAACCTGCAGCCCGACAAAAAAAGATGAGGGTGTCTGGCTCGACAACAATAAATGGTGACGCAGCTGCATAATGTAAGGTCAATGATCGTCTCATTGCGTCTTGCGAGTAAGTGTGTCACACGACATGGTGCAGGGAGAACGAGTTGCTACGAATATATGCAGGGCGGTGGAAATGCCGATTCCAAAGCAGAGGGCAGGGGATGGATACTGATACGTAAAACACTCCGTAAAGGTGTAGAACAGTATCGATCAGTGTTATGGCGTAAGGCGTCCATTATGTACAAAGTATGCCCATGGCAAGGACACCAAGCATCTACCGTTAAGCTGACCTAGGTGAGTCACAAGATGTACATGTTAAAGTGCTTCCCAGTAGGCATGCTCATATTTCGGGCAAAGAGTACTCTGCGTCAGTACTCTGAACGAGCAGAGTTCTAGGTCTTTGAAATGGTCGACGTCGTGGCCAGAACAAACTGCCCCATTGCAGATCCAAGCGAACAAACTGAAGCATAGCTTAATATGGACACTGGCTGGAACTATGACATTTCCACGCAATCTTGAGCGAATCAGGGGCTCGCCAGGACCGGCGTGTGTGGGACCCAGACCATTTGTGGCCATTTAGGTGCCGTCTTCGTATATCTCCAAGTTTACGACACACTATGCTTTCTTTTGGGGGGCTGACAACGACACCAGACAGCACCATGGAGTAGTTCCCTTTAAACAACCTCACGACGTAATTACATATCAAAGCGAGTTGACACGGAAGCTTTGCGGCTGAACGATAAATAAACGCCACAAGCTCTGTGGCCTGAACTCCTTGCCCTCGTCAGCACTATCAACAATATATATATGTGTGTATTCACCACCCGGTACCAAGGCTGGAAACATGAAAAGAAAAAAGAAAGAAATCATAACCTTGTTTCCGTTGTACGGGCCAAGGTCTATCTTGATCATCCACCAGCACGCCGACCGCGTGGTTGGCATATGGGTCAGCATCAGATCTGTTGGTGAACACCGGTCTGCAACATGTTGTAAGATGCTAGTATGAGTGTCTAGAATCAATTTTGTTTTCTGAGGTTTGATTGTCTGTATTATAAGCTTGTAATTAAAGTATAATTATTCTTTGGTATTTGCTTTACAAAAAGGTAAATAACAAATATTACGGGACAAGGTAACATGAAGAGAGGCTGCATATATAGTCTCTTTCGGTCTGCTTTTTTACAGGCAAAGCCTCACTTTGTTTAACTCCTCCACGCACTCCGAAAATCTTTCCTGTTTTCGTCCGAGTTCATCTCAGTGTATCAGTTTTGAATACTACCTAAAGTGTACTGTGAGCAGGTTTCTGGGATGTCGCACAATTTCAACCATGTCATTGCCATTTCAATCTCTATATACGTACATTATCACCCTTGTACTCCGTATATACATTATAGAGCTTAAATAAACCGAATTTGTTCACCGTTCCTCTGGGTGGCCTCGTGCTAGACTTCGGAGCCAATGTCTTGCAAGATTCACGATATAAGACAATTTGCAATGTACACAGGGTTATTATGGCCATGCTATGTCTCCAAGCGATGCCAGTTGGTGCGATTTGGACGGCTCATCGCCGTCAATGGGCAGAGTGAACGAAGTCGCACTAGCAGAGAACAGAGACATGATCCGAGTTCCGGTTTGCAGATACTATCACGGAGGGCGTGAACAAAAAAAAACGCGCTCAAAATTACACGACTCTGGGTATTGACTCAGCGTTCTATGAAGCCAGGCCTTGTATTTTATTTTTGCATATTTCGGCCCTTTGCTTATTTCGTCACCCCTAGGTGACAAAAGATACAGAAGCAAAAGATAAGAACTTGTAAGCGGCCTTCTTTGCTTATTTTGCCGTCATTTACCGTGTCTCTTACACCTCCGACGAGCATGGTATATTTGAATCCACAGACGGACAAGAGAGTGCTATATATGCCTCCACCCTCAGTGCAGTGGGCGCAAAGCTCCATAGATTCATGCAAAGTGTATGATGATCCGTGCAAAGGGCACACGGGGACATGTCTTGGTTTAAGCAAAGAGGGTCGTTTGATGTCATTTTGATGTCGGAGCTGGGCGAGTGAGTTATAAGGGCAAACATAGGTCGCACAAGGGAAGGAGAAATAGTACAATCATTATTCGAAACCCCCATAATTCAGAAATAATAAATAAACTTGCTGAATATGACAGATTGGGATCCTTGGTAGGGCGATGTACTCAAAAACTGTCTTTGACCTCGAAGCAGGTCAATATAGTTGACTAGACTGGATCCGAAGTGAGCGTATGCCCTATGATGTTTGTCAACTTTTGTCAGTAAGTTTTGCCCAGCCTCTTATCGAATTTCAAACGTCTCGGTCATTCTGTCATTGAAAAGTCTACTATCATGAAGCGTTGGCCGCCTGATACGTTGCACGTTATAGAGCTCTTCACTTCATACTGGAAGAGCTCTGGGGCGCATTTGGAGGCAAAGCCCAGTAGGGAAGCACGTAATCAGGTCTTTTCCCGTAGGAAGCAAACGACGATACTACCGACAGCTCATTGTCGCCATGTGCTCCTGCTGTGCGTATGTGGGTGAGGTTTGCTCAGTTTTCAATATATAAAATGAAATATTACAAACAACACGCTGGTTTGACCACCACCGTCTCGGCCTATTATTTCTTAGGCTGTATTCCCCACGTTTTTTTGTTTCTCTTATGCACTGTCCCGAGCCCTAAAACCGGGCTCTGTGCGGGGGCACTTGCCTGTTGCATCCCGCTGTAGCTCGATCTCCCGGCGCTCCTTTGCGCCTTCCCTGTAAGAACCCGCGCGCGCTAGCTTTGCATTACGAAAGAATAACTTCGCTTTCCTCGCAGGGGCAGGCCCGCAGGCAGCCTCGGGAAGGTGCGGTTGGTCTTGTGCCAACTGGCGACTGCCCGCACATCACGACATCTGCGTTTTACGTGACAATCCTAAATCCGAATCGAGAGACTTGCTTCTTCATTCACGCCGCTTGCATCCAACCAATCCAGACACGCACTACCACCAAGAACGCACCCGCCGCACTGCCTTCTATCCGTATTTTACGCTGCTTCGCCAAGGTTCTGTCAGGCCAATCCCTCCCACATACGCCCACCGCCAATTGACCAGACTTTAGAGACCAGCCTCGTGCAGTTTTGCCCGGGTCTCTCAGGTCCCGTTTTCGATTTCTGTTTCTTTTCGTTACCTGTATCCCTTTCTCTTTTTCTCTTAGCCACCTTCGCCCTATCGCTGTCTCGTCGGCTCCATCCATACAGCTGAGCTTTCTGAATTTCTGGCTGGGCCGCACGTACCAGTCTGGGCCGACTTCCACCCACGCGGCAACGACCGATACGAGCAGGACGAAGACGACCCAACATCGGGTTTGTCCGTCTCTACCAGTCCGCCTAGCCATTGGAACGTGCACGGCGCTTCGCACACCGACGCCTCGTCAACCCTCAGCAAACGCCAGTCGCCAACCGCCGACCGAGATGGCCCATTCTTCTGCCTCCCCTGTTCCTGCGGCCGATCCGTCCAAGTTAGTCCTCTCGCGTCTCCGGTTCCTCTGACCCCCACACGTCGCCCTTCGTTGGGCTGTGCGTTTTGTGCCTCTTTGTATTTGTGTGCGTGCGCAGCTACTTTGCTGTTCTGAGCTGATACAGGTCCAGGCCGGCCCACATCGTCTTTGTCGGAGCTGGCGCCGTGGGATGTTTCTATGCATCGAGACTTCATTACGTATGTTTTTACTTTCTGCCGTATATCGCATCCCCATCTCTGTCACAAGACCATCTACGCCATCTGAGGTGGCTGTCCTGGCGATCCAAAAGGCTGGACATGGACAGAGAGGCTGTCGGTCATGCTTTCTGGTCATCGTCACCTCCTACCTCTCTCCCCCAATCCTCGACCGACATCTGAGTGCCCCTTTTTGAATATTCTGTTTCGTGTTGCTGACTGTTGCTGCCTTGTTGTTTTCTTTTTCCTTGACCGTCTTTCTTTTCAGCCTGATCACAACATTCACGTTTCGTTGATTGGCCGTTCCAACTACGCAGCCCTCGCCAAGGACGGCGTGCAGCTGCACACCCACACATTCGGCGATTATGTCTTCCATCCCCATGCCGTCTACCCGTCCGCCAACGCCGCCGGCGGTGTTGCGTCTAGTGGTGCAGGCAGCTCGTCCGATGCCGTGCCACCACCGCCACCAGGTGGCTGGGACTTTGTCGTCGTGACCACCAAGGCGCTGCCGGACCGGGTTGACGATTCGGGCACAATTGCGCCGCTGGTCGGGCCGAAGTCGACCATTGTTCTGATTCAAAACGGCGTGGGTGTCGAGGCTCCGTACCGCGCCCGTTTCCCCGACACACCCATCATCAGCGGCGTCACAGTGGTCAGCGCGGAACAGATCAAACCCGGCGTCATTCGCCAGAACCGCTGGACGCGTCTGCACATTGGGCCCTACACTACGTCGGCTGAGTCGTCGTCTTCGCCTTCGTCGCCGCCCTCCGTACAGATTGATGAAAACAGCCCTCTCGCAAAGCGGGGCACCGAGGCAACCTTGCAGCTGACCGACTGGTGGACGCGTCTCGGTGGCATTCGCGACATTGATCCGCTCGATGAGGTGGGCCTGCAGACGGTGCGCTGGCACAAGCTGTGCATCAACGCGGCCTTCAATCCGTCGGCCGTGCTGTCGGGCGGCCGCGGCAATGCCGATATGGCGTCGGACCCAGAGCTGCGCATCCACCTGCGCGCCGTCATGGACGAGATCTGGGCGGCCGCCCCTCGTATTCTCGGCCGGCCCTTCCCCTCCGACCTAGCCAGCCCGGACAAGATCCTGGCGAGCACCGACCGCAACAAGGGTGCGCGGCCGAGCATGCTGCTGGACTGGGAAGCCGGTCGGCCTCTGGAGCTCGAGGTCATTGTCGGCAACCCGGTCCGCATAGCCCGCGCACGCGGCGTCGAGCTGCCGCGCATGCAGAGTCTGTATGCCCTGCTCCGGAGCTCACAGGCTGTGCGGGAACAGACGAAGAACAAGGACAAGGGAAAACTGTAAAACGTTCTTGCAAAACTGGCCAGTTGGGGTTGGGTATATGTAATGTTGACATGTAGATTTTCGTTTATATATAACCAAGCGTCCAAATGTCATTCTGGTATGAACCCGCCACCGCCGTAATCGTCGTCGTTTATGAAGCCGCCGCCACCAGCAAATTCACCTTCGCCGTCGTCGTCCACGACCATGTCAAACTCTTCCGTCACGTCACTCCTGGCGTCGTCGACGGCATCGTCTTCGTCACTGTCCAGCCCCCCTTGGTTCTCGTCTTCGTGGTCCACAACCGCGTCGTTATCGCTTTCTTCGTCCCTCTCTTGTCCGTCTCCGTCGACCAACTCACCACGGTCCTCGGCCGCATTCCGAATCCGCTGCCGAATGCGCAGACCGCGCAAGAAAAAGGTCCAGGCACGCAGCGCAGCACGCGTCCGCCGCTCGGCCACGGCCTCCACGGCAAGGTCTTTGAGACCCTCCAGAACCGCCCTCACGGCCTCGGCATGCTCTGTGGCGACAACGGCACCGCGCAGCACGGCCGTGCCTTTGCGGCCCTGGAAGTTGAAGCCGGACAGCGCCGGTGCATAGTCGACACCCAGCATGTACGCGGCGCGGCCGGCAGCCGGGTCGTCAATGTGCTCGCCGCCCTCTGGCACCATGCTCGGCACGTACAGTTCAATGTTGCCAAACTTGTTCTTGGGGATGCGGCCGTCGACGACGGGCGGTGCGCGGTACAGCTCCGTTTGCTCCGGTGTGAAGATGGGGATGCCGAGCGGGCTCGGTTGGGACCGGGACTGGCCAATACCGCCGACGGCACTGTCGCCGAACAAGTTGTCGTCGTCGTCGTCGTCGTCGTCGTCAACGCCATCACTCTGGCTCTTGTGGCCGCTGACACCACCGCCATCGTTGCCTTCGTCGTCAAAAACCCCTCTCTTTCGAGGTTTGGGCAGCCACTTGGCAGGGATCTCGTTGGGCAGGACCACACGGCCCAGCCGGTACCATCGGTCGGCGCTGTAGGCAATGCGGACATCCCGCCGGCGGTAGATGCGTTCAAGCGGCGCTTTGGCGCCGGCCGCGACGGTGCCGACGGCCGTGGCGTTGGGCACAAGCACCTCGTGCCGTCGCAGGTGGCGCACCAGCGCATACACTGGGTGGTTCTGGAAGTCTGCCACGTTGCGTGGCATCGGCTCGCGCGACTCGGCCGCATTGAGCTCAATATCTTCGATCTGGTCGACATCGGTCAGCGCCGACACACGAAAGTAGCGCAGCGCTCGGCGCAACCACTTGGCTCCCGACAGGTTTGTTGGAGACGACGTCCGCGGGGACGACGTCGGCGGCGCCCCCGCAGAGGAGGCTGCCGCTTTCGATGCGGCAATTGTGGGTGCCGGTTCGACGAGACCGTCGATGCGCGTACGCTTCGTCTTGGCATTGTACGCCTTGGCATAGCGCCGGGTGACGTCCTTGGCGTCGCCCTCGGCGGCAAAGCCAATGGCATACGACAGCTGGTTGTTCTTGTCCGCCGCCGGCGGCTCCAGCTTGGCCACCTTCCACTGCGAGCAGGTGACCAGCGGGTCGACTGGCTGCCACTTTTGGTGCGCGGCATCCAGTACTTCCACCCAGTAGACGGGGAACGCCGACTCGCCGCGAACGACATGTCTTGACGACGAGGCGGCCGACGTGGATTGCTTGGGTGGTGCGGAAGGGACCGCTGGGACGTTGTACGCCGCAGCGTCGGGGTGGCCCAGCCGACGGCGAGGCGAAAGGAACATGGCCTCACTTTCAGAATCGCCCCTCGTGGCCTGGGTGGCGGACGGTGGTGACCGGTAGATGCTGGGTATTGGGTGGTCGTTTCGCGCTGGCGTCGGTTTGGATGGCTTCGGTTTTGGCTTTGGCATCGTCGGGGCGTTCGATAAAAAAGACAACGGTTGCAGCGAGCAGACGAGCCGTGTCTCGACCCCAGCCGCGCGCAACAGGGCACAAAAGAGCTGAGCCCCGACGTCGCGCGAGCCTTGCATGCTCTTTGCTGCGGCGATGAAGTCGTCTTTGTCGAATACGGTTTCCGCGTCTTTGGGGAGTTCATACTATTAATGCCATCTCCGTTAGTCACTGGCAACATTCATCATATGAAGAGCATCAACACACAACGTCCTCCGCCAACTCACGTCCTTCAACTGCTCGGGGCTTTCCGCCCACAACGCGCGCCGCATCCCCCGTTCCGTAATGCGGAACCGCGTCTTGAACATGGTCGCCACTTGCTGCAGGCCGTTTTTCAGCGACTCTGTCTGGCCAAACTGCGACAGATGGCCGTCTGGGTTGAGGTACGAGATCATTTTCGCCGTCAGCAGCGGGCGCAGCGCCTTTTGCACCTTGGCCGAGTTGCACCACCGGTTGCGTTGCGCGGCGTGCGCCAGCAGACAGAGCAGATGCATCTTGTGGATCTCGATGCGGTGCATGCGCTCGGCCCGGCTCAGCGGCTTCTTTCGGCTGGCCGGTGCTGCCCTTGCACCCCAGCGGCCATTCCATCGTGTCGGCGCCGTCAGGACGCTCTCGTGCTCCGTGAGGTTCAGCTCCAGGGTGTCTGTCGTCGCATTCGTCTGATTTGGTGGTCCACTGCCGGGTTGTATCGGTGTAGTTGTTGCACTGACTACGTCCTCGAGTACGAACGGTTGGCTGCTCTCTTCGTCTTCTTCGTCTTCTTCGTCATCGTCGTCGTCGTCGTCTTCTTCATCCTCCGAGTCGAGTTCCCTCGTTTGGATGACGGGCTCTGGGATCACAATGTCCTCAAATTCCACGTCGTCATCCGCGTCCTCCGCGTCCTCCTCGTCCTCCTCGTCCTCCTCTTCTTCTTTGTCTGCAAAGACAACCACATCTGCGACGGATTTCTGGGCAGATCGGTCGCCGCGCATCGGGAGGTCGCTCTTCTGCCCCGGCCGCTTGATTCGCTTCACAGGCGGCTCGCCCGATTCGCCAATCAGGTCAATCGTCGGCTGCACACCGCGCCGTCGCGCTGCTGGACTCGGCACGCCAGCCTCGATCAGCATGTCGCGGTACACACCCGGCAGGCCCATGTCGCCGTCCCCGGTCGCAGCAGCAGCATCTCGGCGTCGCTGGCGAGCTGCGGCCACGCGCTGCTGCTGCCGCTGTGTCGCTGCCGCGCGCAGCGTGACGCCTCGATGCTCAGCGGTACCACTACGCCGCCTGGCCACCATCGTGACCACCGCACGAAGAGGTCACGAGGAGCGTCGACGAGTGCTGAGGAGGGATGCCGTTGCTCGTGATGTCGTAACCGATTAAACCCAAAAATGATAAAAAGAACCCAAAAGCGATGTTGGGTCACTCAAGAAAGGAGGCGCATGTTGTGTCGCATAGTCGTATGTCGCGCTGACGTCAAGTCTGTCATCGCAACCCACAGATTGTAGGCAGCAAAGGACAGTTGCCGATCAAATGGATGCGTCGGTGGATGCGTCAAATGCGTCCAGTGCGTCAGACCTGGAACCAAAAGGCGGCCCCGCGTTTTAGAGACCAAATCGAGTTGCGAGTCTACCGCGAAAGCACGTGACCATCATGACGTACTTTAAATGGCCTCCCCTCCGTCACCAAAAGTTCTGTAAAGCTAGGTCTGCATGTCAATATACACTTTTGTTGATACAAATTTGCACTTTGAATTAAAAGTCTTTCTCGATTGGCTGTCCTCAATTGAGAATATTTCAATTTGTTTCATTTTGTTGACTACGTCTTACGTCTTACATATTAAAAAAAAAAAAAAAGCCGACCTGGGGTCTTCACAAGTTGTAATGGCAAATAATGGCAACAGAGACCGAGGGGGCAACGCTCCCGCCCGTGCTGGCAGGCTAGGAATACGAGGAGGGCCTCCAAGAGGGCCGTCACGAGGATCGTTTGGAGGTTCTTCGAGAACCTCGGGCTCTGGACCAGACTCGCCATCCAACGCCGTCCCAGCAAACTGGCCGTCCAATGTCACCTACCTCACAACGCCCGTCTACGCTGGCATCTCACAACGACAGCGCAAGATGCTGCAGACACAGCCGGCCGACCTGCCCGGCGCGCCGGCGTCCACCCCGCCCCTATCGGAGGTGCCGTCCATCCTGCGCTTTGGACCCAGCCCGCTCGTCGAGATCCGCTCCATCACCGACCCACACCATCCAGCCTGTGGCCAGCGGGGCCTCTTTGCCGCCCGCAACCTCCGCGCCGGCTCCTTTATCCTGCCCTATCTGGGTGTCTACCATCGTGGCAATGTCGCTGCTGGACGACCGGGCACCAACCCGCACAACAAGCGCGAGTCCGACTACGACCTCTGGCTCGACCGCGAGGCCGACGTCGCCGTCGATGCCGACCGCCAGGGCAACGAGGCCCGCTTTATCAACGACTACCGGGGTACCGGCAAGCCGCGGGCCAACGCCGAGTTCCGCGAGGTCTGGGACCCGCGGCGCGGCGAGCGCGGCATGGCGGTGTTTGTGCTGCCGGCGGGCAAGCGGGCGCTGCTGCAGGCGGCGGCGAACGGACAGAGCAGCAGCACGGTGGGCGGCATTGCGCAGGGCGACGAGATCCTGGTGAGCTACGGCAAAGGCTTTTGGGAGATGCGGCAAAAGGAGGCGGAAGAAGCGAGGGCCCAAGAGGCTCCCGCCACGGGCGAAGAGGGAGAGACAGCAGCAGGGGAGCAGGCAGCCGGTGCATCCGCTCTGTCGACTGTGCCCGAAACCGAAAGCACAACGCAGCCGGAGGCGGCTGAAGAAGAAGAAGAGACGGAAGAGGAGGAAACAGAAGCAAAAGAAGAAGACGTGAGTGGACGCCCACAAGCAGACTCCGTCTCAGACCAAATGGGCTCGCTGAAAGTGGTCGGCAGGTTTCCCAAGAACATCGCATGGGCTTGATGGGATGGTATTTGTGTATGACAATGATGGAATTTGTCTTTGGCAATACTCTAAAGTGGAGGCACCAGACAGATGTGCCTCATGTACTCTCAAAAGGCGTGGCTCCCTATACGTCCCGTCCCGCCACTTCCTACCGCGTCCTCGTTTCCGCCGCCATCTGACAACGCGCCGTCGTCCCGTTCAGTCGCCCATAGGCCTCACGCTTCGCCCGTGACTGCGTCGTGGCCCAGAGGCCGAGGCTGCCCAGCAAGAGCGCAAAGATGACGACACCAAGGGCAACAGCCACCTGGCTACCTGTCGACAAGCCCGAACTGCTTCCACCGTTGTTGCCATCATTGTTGTTGTTGATGTTGTTGCTGCTGCTGTCTGGGAAGGTGATGCCATTTTGCCCAGCTGGGCTCGAGGGTGTTTGGGTGACAAGCGCACTGCTCACGATCAGTGGAGGAGTGGCCATGTTCGAGGGCTGCGACGTCGTTGTGTTTCCCGCTGCTGAAGTAGGCACGTGCGGTGGCGTGAAGAAGGAGATGTTGTGGTTGGTTTCGTGGGAAGGTGCGTCACCATTCTGGTTAAGTATGGACATGGGAAGGAACGAAGAAAGACGGGCTGCTGGCAACATAAATACACATAGAAGGCAGGGGCCTCTTTCCGTATCAAAGGGAAGGCGCGAACAGCATGGCATTGGCATTAAGGGGTTTGTGGCTTTGGGATTTTGCAAGCCTATGGCAACGAATGAGATTCATAAACCAATAGATCATATATGACGGTTTTTATCCAAGAAAGACACGCAGTGGGCCGTTTGCTTTCTGAGAATTGACAGAAATCTGGTACATCCAGGACGTACACATTCTTCCCGAGACAAAACCGACATAGAAGAGTCCAAGGCAAAAACGAGTTCCTTCCGAATACGAACAACGAGTATCAACGACGAGTTGACGACAGTGGAGGAAGGTGGTACTGTCGCAACTGCCCCGATTTTGATATCGCTCATGTCAGCTGTATCGTGTCGAGATCAGCCGGGGAATGTAAACAAGCATAGACTCCCATTGCCAGTCTACTTCTCGACCACATCTAAACCACACACCACACGCACCATCGTCGTTCAGGATTGCCAAAAATCATTACTCTGTTTCGTTTAGTCTAATCATATTACCACAACAGCCATGACGGCAGATCGCCTAGCAAAGCCAGCGTCGCCGACTTCACCAGCTTTACAAGCTGGTCAAGGAAGCACGCCGAATCAGCAACAAAATGCGATGAATCCCACAGCAGCTAATATGGCAACATCTCCCTCGCTTCCCAGTGCCAACGAGTCTCTGACACCGGCGGACATTGAGGCAATGCCCGAGGCTGAGTTCCTCTCGCAGGCCACGTCTACACCCGAAGAGACGCCAGCTCCGTCCCAACCTGTGGCCGCTCCCGCATCTCAACAGTCGCGTTTGAACAGGATCAGTGCTCACCTTCTGAAAAAGGCCGTAATAAGAGAAAAACAAAAGTTCGAAACGTATCTTATTGAATCAACAGGGACCATTGGGCACGTTACATGCAACCCATCACGAACACCCAGTCCCGAAAAGATTTCTGAGTCTGATTGTCAAAACAACACTCAGTGCAACACTCAGGCTAGCCCACAGACAAGTCCACAAACAAGTCCACAGACAAGTCCACAGAGCGGTGCTCAAGACGGTGTCCAAGTTTCTCCCCAAGGTGGTGCCGGTGGCGTTGCTCGTCCTACGCTGCGGCTGGTCGCAAGCGATACCCAGGAATCCGGGGACGCTCCTCCCGAGTCAAATGCGCAGGCTCCTTCCGGTGCTTCCAGTGGCAATGGCCAAGCCCCTGCAAGCAGTGCGCCGAACGCTGCGAGTGCCGCCGATGCTGCCAGCATAAGGGGCGGTGGTCAGACAGAGCCGGTGTCCAACAACAGCACGGGCGATCCTTGGTCAGGCAGCACACAAGCTGTGCAAGGCCTCGCTACCAGCTCATCCCAGCCTGCACCCCGACCGAACGCACGCGATCCTGAGGCAGGAGGTCCCTCCAGCGGCCGCGAGATGGGCACCCAGACCGATTCTCCAAAAGAGCAAAACAACAGTGGTGGGCCTGGACGAGATGAGGCCGGGCAACAGCAGCCGAACATAGCCGAACAGCTCGACGATGCTCTGCGACAACATGTTAAGCGTACCCGCCGGCACAAACTCTCTGCTATATTTCTCTGCAACAGAGAGAGGAACACGGTGGGAGAGGAGCGCCGACGGCGATCCTTATTCCGGTGCAGTCGGCGCGCTGAACGAGATGAAGCTAGTGACGCACAGCCCGGCGCACAGCCCGACGCACGGCAGGTCGAGCAGCCGGGTGTCCAGGACGCTCAACGGGCCGGCGTCGGACAGAATAATAAACCGGACAATGGGCCTGTGGCGTAGTCGGTGAGATGGTGGCCGAGACAAGGCCACCTTTGGCGTTATGGCTGTATCTTCTTTACAGTAGATATATCGTGCTGGCTTGTGCATGATGGTGCATGATGGAGAAAAACCATTGTTGAATAGAACTAGTTTTGCCCCTCTGAGATACATGCCCTATTGTGCGTCTAACGAGAGCCCGAGAACAAGTGGACGTACTGTTTCAGAAGAGACCAAGGGTATCCTGCATGCATGCTTCGTCTGTCAAAGGCAGCCTCTTGACAATATGGCGATAGACTCTCTCGTAGGCGTATTTTTGTGGTTTTTATCTGTACACCAGATGTGTCTTATTACTCTATTATTCGCTATTGAGATGAGATCCATTGCTGTCAGTGTAAATCAGTGAGATATTTTCCAATCACACTTCCCGATTGCGTCCATTCAAAATATCAAGAGCCATCACGAGGCCCTCTTTGCATATTGTACTCCGTACCGTGTGCTGCATTTTGTCTGTTGGACGACTTGCATCGAGCGCCTCGTGCTTCTTATTGGCCAACGCATTTCCTATTTCGATGCATCCCAGACTGTCCAGCTGTCCAGCTGTCCAGCTGTCCATGTGCGCCTACTGCTCTGCTCACTACCATAATTTGCCCGCTACCTTTGGCCCCCAATACTGCTCCCTTGCGTTTTCGTCCTCAGCCCTCAGCTGGAGACTTTCCTGACCCATGCTCAGTTGCCCACTACTATGTACATGTACACGGCTCTTATCGTCTCCGGCTCGTCCAGCTCATATCTCATATCGGTTCTGGACGGACTGTAACCCGAGAGATCTCTGCATCGCTCTTTCTGTTGCTCTCTTTTATTTGCCAAAGTACCCTCGTATGGCCCCCAATACGGCCCTTGCCACAGTCGCACAGAATGCTGAAAGTATGTTCGTCAGGAAAAATGAGATTGCACTTCTTCAATAGCCCCCGAAACGGTGTACTGGGCGCGGCACGTATCATGTTGTCTCCCTTCGCCGGCCCCCCCATTCTCTTCCTTTCGGGCGCTTATCGAGAAAACGAATATATTTGCGAGACTAGGCCTGTAGGCAATTCTACGACGGATGTGGTATTGCTCTGTCTCTCTCTCATTCTCGCTCTTATTTGGGCCTTTGGGTCTTTTCAGCCCAACTTAGAGTTGCGTTGCAATGGCTTTTCTTTTTACTTCTTTTGGGGGTTTCACACATCTTTGTGCTGCCTTCCATATTGAAATGCATGCAACCTTCCCAGCCGCGCCTGGACTCTTTGGTCCTCCAGCCTCCATGTTGAGGTTGGACGCCAACAGTGGGAAAGCGAGGCAGCGTGACTTGTCCTTTTTTTCATCCTTTTTCGTCCCTTCTTGCATGTCGCAAAACTGTTCTTCTTCGGGGCCAAAATTTAAGTCATGTGCACCGCTTTTGGACTGCTGTCCCAGACGAAGTCACAGTTAAGGAAAGTAGAACGGAACGAAAATCAACAAGTAAAGAAGAAATAAAAAAAGAACGGCAAAAAAAAGATAAAAAAAAAGTACACGGGATCGTTGAGTCAAGGGAAACGCACTATCCAACAGACAGGATAAGTGCCGTTTGTGGAAACGGCGCGAACCTTTTATGAGCTGAAATAAGCGAGTAGAAGACGCGAGAAATCAATGTGCGAACCGAGGGAGAGAGAAAATGGCCAGAAGAAAGTAAAGAGAAAGGAGAGCGAGCCTCGTTCACCGAACTGCGTCAGTCGGAGCCAACCTCTGTCTGGCCTGTTGCAGAACTGATGGGAAAGAAAGAAAGACCCAAATGACACAAAAGACGCGAGTACTCTGAGGGACACCGATAATAAAAGCCACAAAAAGGACATACACAAGGGTTGGTGACTGGCTCTCTCTGGCTTGCGAGTCCACAGGGCGTTTACGAGATGCTGTCTTTGTCGTGCGACATACGACTCTCCCTTCCCCTGCGCTCAAGTCTATCGTACGCCCTCACGCCGTCCTCCTGGGTCTTGGGTCGTTTCTGTGTTCCCTCACTTTTGTTGTGTCTCCCATTCTCGTGCTCGTCGTCCCAGCGTGTCGGGATCTGCGATTCAGGTGTTCAGGCAGTCAGCCTCCCATTCAGTCGCTTGGTATCGCGCGCCTTGCTGGGCCCAGGCCGCCTTGGGTTTCCACCAAACAAAGCAGCGTCGAGCCACGCAGGTCACCCAACTCTATTGTTCTCCGCTCTCCATCGTGACCAAGCGCGACTGCAAGCTGTCGGCCACCCATCCTTCGTGAATGTCCGTGTTGAATGTGACTGGGCATTTGCATCTCACAATAGAAAAAAGAGGCCCGTAGCCACACACACATCCACAATCGTCGGGACGTGTCCACCCGGCGATCAGCAGGGAAATACGGGTGATGTATGCGGGAGGAAACGAGAGGAGATGACAGGTTCAGGAGATTGAAAAAAGAAAGCATGTCTGGACACCGTCACGCCGTACGTCGTACGCCCCTATTTTTTTGTCTTTTCTTTTCTTTGTTTTGCTTTTCTTTTCTTTTTCCCCCCTGGCACGACGAATCCCGATCCTTTGTAAATCTAACGAACGAATTCGCTACTCTCTCTGTAACATGCTCCGCCCATCGGAACTCATTTTATCTGCTTCTCTGCTTCTCTGCTTCTCTGATTCTCTGATTCTCTTCCGCATCGCCAAAAAGGGAAGCTTGTCTGTTGGACCTAACAACCAGGCTATCTGATGGGTCATCGACAATACGATTTATCTGGTTCGCTTCCTGCGAGCGGGTCCTGACTGTTGGTGACAATCAACAGCGCGGCAGACATTCATTCCAAGCTGCCGAGTCAATAGAACAGGAAGAGGAAAAGACGAATCTACGAGGACCTGTCAAAACGTCGACGTGTTTTGTTGCTTCACCACGCCTTTTATTTCATTTCCTCTTGTCGTTTCGTGTCGACAATGTACTGATCGATCCTTTTGTTTCCAACCGACTTCCCTGCATCTTCCTTTGTTCCTCTTCCGGCCCATTTATCGTCTGTTGCTCACGCACCCGCCGCCGCCCTTGCGTTTTCAGCGGCCCCTCTTCCTTGCATACAAGCTTTCTTTGTTGTTTCCGTTGGATATGACTCCGGGCGCGGCTTGTGGCTGCTTCACGACCCTCATCCTCATCACATTCGTCCATCAGAACGTTAGTCCGTCTTCTGCATCCGTGTCTCGTCTCTCCTCGTCGCCGTCGTCCTCGCGCTCTCTACCCCAAAGACGCTGTCGACGCTGTCTATATATTGATCAACAGGTTCACCACACGGCCCACGAGACAGGTCCGACGCCAATGGTCAAAGCAGTGACGACCAGCGCAAAAGGGCACATTCTCTAGTCGTGCACTTTTTCTCATTCAATCCGGACAACCTGATTATCGCTTCGTACACAGTTTCGCAGCCAATGCACATTCTACTCTTTCTCGCCTTCATTTTTCTCGGCACCCATCGCGCAAATACATTTTCTTCATCGCGACCTTTCTTCCACTTTGAGCGCTCTCTCTGCATGAGCTAAACTCACTTACACGGCTGTCCGTACCCACTTTCTCCGTTTCTTGGGTCCATTGCCGCGCTTCGTTGTCACGCCATGGCCTACAACGACTCGCCCATCGCCGTCGACAGCTCCCTTCCCGCCCGCACACCGCTTGCCTTCCGCCGCGCCGATGGCTCCCGTCGCGAGTTTTTGTTTGACGACTGCACGCATTCCCTGCCGCTCCCGGCCGCCAGTCTGTTTTGGAACCCCGAACACCATGCTGGCAACAACGGTAACAGCGGCAGCAGCAGCAGCAACGGCAGCAGCGGCAGCGGCAGCAACAGCAGACACAGCCACGGCCACGGCCACGGCCACGGGTATGGCCACAGCTATAGCCGCCGGCCGATCCCGGCACCCCTACCCCGGTCTGTGTTGCGGCCATTCCGTCGCGACAATGGTGAGCCTGCCGCGGACATTCGCTTTGTCCGAGAGACGCGGCAGTCGGTGTGTCGTGACGGAGTAGACCGGAGCCGGTGCTGTGAATGTCGACGACGGGTGACGTCGACGTCGAAACAGGAGGCAAAATTGGAGGCGCCGACGACACCACCCTACCGCCGGTATAAGATGTCGCCCCAGCGAGTCTTTCGCGACCTCATCATGAGCGATGCGGCCGAACCGCTGCCGCCGCGTCTTCGCGATGCACTCCTTAATGCCTTCAACGCGACAGTCGAGAGGCAGTCGCCACAGCACGCACAGAAACGGAAAGCGCAACCAAGTACACGACCGCCTGCCCAGCTAGACCGGCCGCTCCTTCCATCACCGCCACCAACGTCAACGGCAACAGCGGGCGACAAAATCGTGGCAGGCACGTCGGTCGCCCTTGCCGAATTCCACTGCTTCTCGCGCCTACCGTATGAAATACGCGTCTTGATCTGGGAGCAGGCGTTGCCGTTCCGTGTGTTGCTCCGCGAAGATCTCGCCTCGACAACGTACCGCAGCATACGCCGTGTGTTCCGTCCCGCCAGCCACGTGCACACCCTTGAGATGCTCTGGCAATCGGACCTGTTTTATGTCTGCGTCGAGGCGCGACGTGTCGTCGAGGCCGCCTTTGGAGGCGACACGTTCAGATACCGTGCATCTTCAACAGCCGCGACAGTAGGCGACGACGGCCCTCCGTCGCCCCTGGTGCGGTGCATCACGTCGCCTAGCCGGCTACGTTCTGGCCGGGATGTGTTGTACTACCCGTGGCTGGGCGTCGAGGCCATCCGCAATCACGCCAGTAGCGGTTTTGGCGGCGGCGGACCGTGGACGTTGGCTCGGGACCATGTGCAGCAGCAACATCACCATCACCATCAAGCCGCGCATGGCTATCCTCTGGCTGGGGCGAGCTCCAACATTCGAACATGGATGTCAAAGTACGACAGCGGACGTCGTACATCGTCTTCACCGCCGGCCTCCGACGCCGACACCATTGCAACCCTCACCTCCGTCCCCTACGGCTGCTGGGCGAGCCAGCTGCGCCATATGCGCCTGCCCGCGAAGACAGTCGCCCTCGACGCCACCTGGATCGATCGTGGCCATCCGGACACCATTGCCTGGGCTGCCGGCGTGGACCTGTCGCAGGACGAGGAGGACGACCAAGACGAAGGCGACGGCCGAGAGGACAAGCCGGCCAGGGAGACGGTGGCGGCCCCCACGTCCCTCCAAGTCGTTGTGGCCGACTTGCATGTGCCGGTACGCATCCGCCTGGGCTCGTCGGACCGCACCAGCGGCACGACTGGCCCGACTCCTACGAACACCAACGGCATCACCCCGGCCCAGCAACACCTCCTACGGCAGCACATTGCACCGCAGCCGTGGCAAGACGCGCGGAGTTTCCAGCGGGCGTTGGATCATGGTCCCCGATCGCAACCGTCGCTGTCGGCGTCAACGTCGGCCGCAGCGACGATGGCCACCCCGCTCTCCACCAACCTCAACGGCATGGACTTTTCTGTGCTCGTCGACCTCTACGACGACTGGCGCATCGAGGAACTGCTCTCCCTACAGGGTGCCAGCGACCCAGATCCAGACGTGGACGATGGCCATGACACCCACGACAGCGTCCTCAACAAGGCCGCCCTGCACCGGTGCGTTGCGTGCACGAGGCGGGCGTGGGAGGCGAGGAGCGCTGGGGACAGAGACTGCCCGGATGGCGGAAGCAGTTGGACAACCAAGTTTGGTTCCGTGCTGGGCGCACACTTGCAGAAGCTGTGCCGGCCGACCATTGTCTTTTCCATTGTTCTGTCGTTTGTCGACGAGGAGGAGGTGTAATGGAGGATTTGATTTAAGTTACCAGATTAATATCATTTATTTATTAATATTATCTACGTTCACTTTTTAGGGGTTTTTTTCTATGTTATTCTCGAATTATATTTTTCTTCCATTTCAACGCGTGGTTATTTTGTTCATAGCATATGTACTTTTTTTTAAAAAAAAAAAGTAATAAATAAATAAAAGCAAAAGTAAAAACGACTGTAAAATAAGCACGTACAAGAACCGAGTATTAAACGCTGCCATACCAGTATCTTACCCTCCAATCTTTCTGTTTACATTCACTTCGACAACACAGGGGATGCATAATTCATGCAGCCCGACACAAACGCAACGGGTTACTTTACACAAACAGCGTCCCTGATGTATGCTGTGCTACTCATCTGAAGCGGTTCCCAAGACACGCTCTTACTGCGGAGATGAGCTGCGGTCTGTGGCGTGGACGCTCACCACGGAAAACGCTCTTTCCACGCTCCCACTGCCCAAATCGATGCCTGTCGACGCCTATCGACACGAGGATGACACAGCGTGTCGGCGTGTCAGCTTGGAGCGTGGCCATACAACAAGACAAGAGTACTTGCAGGAGAGGAAAGTTTCCGCGATGGCTGGGAACGTGAGAAAGGGGCATCGGTTGTGTCTCGGGGGATTTATGGCGTGTGCGACAGCCAGAAGCGGAGCGGCACAGGGCGTGAAGAAAACGGGGTTGGGAAGGAAGAAAGAAACGGAGATGCCAACGGAGAAACAATACGGAGCAGAAGTGGAAAGGGCGTCAACGAGGGTGGGAGTGGAAAGAGAAAGTACGTATGGAGTATAAACAGCGACTCGCAAAAGAAGACTACGAAAGCAGGGCCTGCCAAGCTGTAGGGCGCGACCTCCCTTTGCATAGCAGTGAACCCCTCTTACCGTGAAGAAAAGATCGTCGCGGGGACGGTGACGACAGGACGTGTCACTTTTTTTTTTGTCGACAGGGACGGCACATTTCCTCTCTGGTTGTGATCGGCGTCTCTGCCTTGGAGTGGTGGATGTTGGCGAGTGTTTGACAGGTCTGAGAGGCCAAAATGCAAAGAGCTAACCAAAACAGAAAACAAAAAGAAAGAAAAATGAGAGGGTTCGCTTTCCAGAGAAGTCCCGAGACATTGGGAAGAACGGCCGGGGTGGAGAGGGTCAAGTTGGTGATGGCCGTGTACATTATACGCCCTTTATCGTACCCCCTTCCCCCCACCCCCGACTTGTTCGCCTTTTTGAAGTTTTTGAATCAGTTCTTACCCTTTAGAGGTGTGATCGTCGATGAATTTGGAATTATGGAAGTTCCAGTCTGGTCAAAGGGCTACTGGTGATGGTCAATTGCGAGTTTTGGGATCGGGCTAGGAGAGATTGAGACGTGACAGCGTGTTGACATGGGGTTTAATATTAGCTTCTGCACCCAAAAAAAAAAAAAATCACCTTCATACCAAGGGCGATAACTAAAATAAAATATACAGGGAGACAGGAAACTGGACAGGAGAGAACGCAGATGCACATCGAGGCGAATGCCAACCAACCTACAAGCATCCCAGAGCCAGGAAAAAGAAAATAAGGTAAGCAAAAAGGAAAAACAGATCTACAAGGCTAGCCAGCAATTGTCGGCCCGGGAGGGAAAGCTATTGGACGCTTTGACGATGTGGCGTCTGACAGGCACACACAGGGACATCTAAACGGCCCACAGGCGAGCATATTGGGTGGGGTGAGGCCGTGACAGGCGCTGGACAGGGTTCACCAATTGACAAGCAAGTCGACAGGCTGCTCGGGTCACGGCCGCCCAACCTCTTCACGAAATACCCAGGCGTCGATCATGGTCGTCTGTCGATTAAAAGTCGACTACCAAAAAGGGAATTGGTAGGCCAACGGTCTGGAAGGTGGATGCTTCTTGCAAATCCTGGGAATCTCTTGGGGCGTGATCGACGACCAAGCGATGCCCAAAAGCCTCGCGTGCAGACGTTTCTTTTTCCCCTTTTTCTTGGGATTGACGGGTCCTCACGGCTCTCTAGCCACGTTCGTATTCTGCATCCTCTAGTTCGAGGTAGACGCCCAAGACCATCATTGCGCTTTAGGATACATTGCGCGCCCGTTTTTCGACGCGTCAATTTTCCCACTCTACTATTCTTTTATTTTACTCTGTTTATTTCCTTTTGTGGCCGTTCACTAACCCTCTCGCAATGGACAGCCGTGCCGTTTCAAGCTGACTCGAGATGATGGACATTGAAAATGGCCACACTTGGTAAGGCACAAAGGAGCATGTGCGAACCAGGATCACGTCGATCACCAGGGCCAAAGGGCAGAAAAAGAGAAGGGTGCTCCAGACGATGCCGGTAGGGAATGCGGGAGAGTGCCAGAGGGCCCTGGCTTTTTGTGCTGAGTCGATGCATGGGTGGTGGTGGGGGAACCAAGATGATGGGCTGCACAAGTCTGGAGATTAGGTGAATAAAAGACGAATAAGCATAAGTAAGCAAGGACGTGCTGATGAGCTGGATAGAAGGAACAGGAATCGCAGACGTTCGACATATGTCGTAGGGATTTGCAGGACGACAAACAATATGCTCGCCTGGCCATTTGTGCATTAAGGCGCGATAGACTGCATCTTGCCCAATCACTCATGATATCCATCCTACGATGGAGCACATAATTTTACTGTCACAATGTTCCCTCGATGGCGACGCAATGCTGGCTTTTTCCGCGATTTGACCCTGTATTCCGCGTTTCGTGTCGTCCCCGTCTACGCCACGGAGACTCCCCGCATTGTTCTGGAGAACAACATCGTACGAGTACGAGAGGATCACGACGTATGTCATTTACAGGAAGCCTTGAAATTGTCTCACACGCCTCATATTCCAACGGCAGCGTCGAATCCTGGGGGTGAGATGAGAGGAGACGAGAAGACGTCGACGAGGTAAACGGCTGGACGTTAGCAAAAAAGAAAGAAACATCATGCCGGACGCGACAACAAGACTAGCCATAAATAAAGTAGACACGAGACGAACTGAAGATGATCATCACCACTTTTGTCAACAAATGTCGTCTGTGATGACGGTCAACGGTCGAGGTAAGCTGAGAGCGGACGCCATTTCCCGCAACAACCGTCATTCAGTCTCGTTGTGCTTTGTGATCGTCGTTGGCTTTGCTGGTCTTGGGGTCAAAATGCGCCGCGTGGAGAAGTGATGATGGTCGATAAACGATGGACGTAAAAAAAACGGTTCACGACGGACACGAGTACGCGAACAGACAAGGGATGTGCCATTTGTCGAGGCATGAGAGGAGCAGTAAAAAAAAAAACGACAAAGAAAAAGAAAAGAGAAAAGAGACACATGAACGGGCCAGCATGCTTTTACCGCATGTCTATCCACGATAGCCCATCACCCGGCTAGGTAGTGATTCTGCCGCTCACAACGCAACCATTTGCAATGGCTTCTGTGCCTCGTTGCAGTCGGGCGTGCCAGGCACTTGGACCCGTCGCTGCCGCGAGCCGGCCAGATTCTCGGGCATTTGTTGTAAATTGCCAGAAAAAAAATGGCACGTCTGTGGCACGGTGACGGGTCCGAGTCTTGGCCATTGTGACAGGTGATGAGAACGAGGCACGAAGGAAGCACAGACAAAAAACCAAATGACAAAAGGGCGCCTTGAGATGATCTGAAAGGGATGCTGTCATGAGGGTGATATCGGCAAACAAACTGTATGTTGTCATAGCCACACGTGAGAGAGAGATGCAAAAGGATTAGCAAGCGAGAGCCAGCAGAGAATCGGCCAAGCAGGAAGGCCAAAAACAAATAAAAAAAACATCGACTGGCATTCAGAGAGTAGACAAAGCTCCACCACGTTGCTTTACGACCACGTTGCACCTTGTGCGCCTTTCAGATCGCATGAGAGTATGGATTAGCTGAGGTGCGAAGAGATTAGCACAAAGGACAAAAGGATCCACGCACGATGCCGGTCGTTCGATGTCCACGGACACGCATATGCATGCACGCTGGGCTCACTTTCTGGCGCGTTCACAAACGAGCTTACATTGCCCATTTGACGCAGGACAGACGGTATTTGGGGTGGCATGGGCAAGGCGATGGTGGTGATATGTCGAGGGCGTACGGCTCCCAGATGAGTGGTTGATGATTTGCGGATTTTCTGGTTGCTGGTTTACTGATTTCCTGGTTTTTTGGATTTCTGGCACGCGGACCTCTATGATTTTCTGGGTTTTCACCAATTTGTCTTACCTGCCTTGCCCTGGCTCCGTTCTTCCGGATAGATGGGCTGCTGATTTGTAACCGTTGCAAAGAGATGTCGACAACAGCCCATACCCAGAGGAAAACCGGCGAAGTTGGTGACGCTCGCAATGGTCATGCGATGGATGGTACCTGCGTACCTGCAACCTCCAACCCTGCCGCCTGCACGACCCTGATGTGCGCCCCGATGTACGTCCCTTGGTCCTTGGACAGGGATTTTTGATTTGGTTGGCAAAGCAAAAATCCTGTAGCGTTGAAGCTCTCTATCAAATCCCTACGCTGCAGCTGCCAGTCACCACTCAAAATCAAACAGTCAAACCCCCTTGCATAAGGGGAGTGGTAAATGCCGAGGATCATCCACGTCCTACAACGATATCAGCAGAAGACGCCGCACAGCTGTTTTCCGATCCTCTACCCCTTGCAGGACCACGGTCGTTCGTTTGGTCTTTGCTTTCTGCGTGGGGTGTGTATCGTATATTATACGACAAACTGGCTTGGGATGGAACAGGCACTCTTTTGCCGCCACGGCTGGGAAAAAGGACAGCGACACGAAAGGAATTTTGAGCTCGTTAATGAACATGGGATATTGAATACGGATGACGGTCAACAGAATGTGGGCGCACAAAATCACTTTTCATGCACGCTGTGCTTTGCAATACGCCTCTGGGCGCTGTTCAAGCAGCTTCGCCAGGACGACGAATGGCACAGAACGCACACGAGACCTTGTCCAACCTTCTTTTCCTAAAATAG